AGCCTGCTTCTCCCTCTCCCACTCCCCCTGCTTGTGTTCCCTCTCTCGCTGTCTCTCTAATAAATACAATAAAATCTTTTTAAAAATAAAATAATTTGTTACCAATTAGAATAGTTTTCAACTGTTTCGAATCAGCATGGATCCAGTGCCCATCAAACCCAGAATCAGAACCCTCAGGAAAACTGGAAGAATTCTTCAGAGATGGCAAAGTCGAAGGTTTTCGACCCAAGTCGCAGGGAAGTCAGCACAACCTCACCTCTGCTCTTGGCTCCTCAGCCAGGAGAGAGGGAAACAGGCAGATTCACCAGGGGAGCTGGTGGCATTCTTATTTATAAACTAAGGAATGAAGAGGCCCCAACCAGAGCATGTATGGATTTTGTGAAAGAATGAAGCCCTTAGTACAACATTGGTCAAAGGCAAAAGAAAAGATTTCTATCTGCAGTAACATTCTTGTTTTATTTTTCCAACCCAGGGAAACCGTGAAAATACTTCCAGGCCTTGGGAAAGCACATCACCAGACAGATGTAAAAAGCCATGCGGTGCGTGTGTCATCCCTACCGGCCCGTCCAAGTGACCATTCACAGGCAGAACCCACTGGTTCTGGGAAAAGCATTTCCAGCGTGGGTTATGGGCACGACTGCACTTGGCTAATGCTCTTTGTGCAGCGTGTGACTGTTTCTGATTCACCATGTGTATTTTTCTCAAAGACACATTTTGGATTGTGCAAGATATTCTAAGCTTTCCAGGGCAGATTTTTTTAATGCTGATATAGAGGAAATTATGACTATTGGAATTAAAAAAAAAAAAAAAAGCTTTTTATGCCCTTCAGTGGAAGTTTCCTTGAAAAGCCAGACATACATACATCTCTAAGTATCGATGTAGGTAAGCAGATGACCTGACTTGACACCTGTTTGTTTTTTTTGCAAAGGCACAGACAACGATCATGGACATGGGAGGAACTGACCCAAGGAAGTGGTGACACCCAGTGTCAACGTTAATACAAGCACGTCTGCTATTGTTCAGTAAGAACATACTAGTAAAAACACTACTACACAGAGTTAATAAAAAACATGTCTGTACATTCATTCAACAAATGGCCAAGACAGGCCACAGGTTTTGTCTCCTGGCAGGGCTGTCCTGGACATGCTTTAGGGTGGAGACTAGACACTGGAAGAAGGAACGTAAGCCCTGGGCCAGCGCAGTGCTGGCCACAGCTTGTGTTCTGAGAAAATGTCTCAAAAGCAGCTTTGTTGGAAATTACCTCATTTGCTCATAATTTAGGAAAATCTTCATTTTGTTTCTGATCCAAGAATTTGGAAAATCAAAATCGGCAGAAAGCCACTTGAGTGGAGACAGGGCGCAGGTGACGTGCGGGGTGGTTGGTCCCTCATGAGGCTCAGAAGCAGGCGCTGCCCATCTGGCTACGCTCAGATGACCACGTCCGTGAGAAAGGCAACATGAAACCGTCTTGCAACAAGATGACCACAGCTGCGTCCTCTTCTCTGCTCACGGCCCGTCAGTAGCTGGTCATGGCGGCCACATTCTTGAGGGGGGAGGCAGGGCGCTGTGGAGGCCGTGCTTTCACGCTGGTCCTCACAGACGCATGCACATCCTGCTGCCCAGCCACCTCCGAGTCCCCTTCGCTGTTGTTTGTGGAAGAAGCAGAGAGGAAGGGGGACAGAAGTGGGGTAATTCTCATGATAAACATCTTCACAGCGGAGCTGACCTTGACATGCAGTAGAACGCACACCTGCCTGTCCTCCGGGCGCAGCTTCATAAAATTTTGAAGTCAGCTTCATAAAAAGGTTGTAGTTTTTTGTTTTGTTTTGTTTGTTTTTGGTGGAAAATGTGGGCATTGATAACAGGTTGTAGTTTTAAAGGCCTTGCTTTAACCCATCATCATGGCAAACTTTTTCAAGTAGGAAGAAGTTAATGAGACATAATTATTGCTCTTTGTTTCCGAGAGATTTGATCTCTAGGAGGGCCTATTTTTTTATTTTCCAGCTGAGAAGCCAACTGGAAAACCAGTGAAGAGATGATGGGAGCCAAGGACCTGAACAACAGGGAGGGGAACTCAGACGCGGGGGCCCTTAGCGCCCGAGGCCCTCCTGTCGGCTACTTCACTCAGCTGTGGCAGGCAGGCCTCAGGTGGCCATGTCACCGCCGATGTCCTCCAAGTCAGGCTGCAGGTGACACGCCCCAGTGCGTGAGCTTGGCGCCACGGAGAGGTCTTATAGCCTGGTTGGCAGCGGACAGTGCCCCGATCGGAAATTCCACCAGGATGTGAGATGAGGAGCAGAGTGAAGAGGCCAGGAGCCTGAACCCAGCAAAGGGCTCAGACACCCAGCATGGTGGTCAGTCTGCTCTCGGAGGCGAGAGCCAGGCCAAGCCAGGCTGTGAGTTCAGTGTGGGTTACCTGTCATACAGGATGCCTTCCAGAAGCCACCTGTTTCCTTCTTTAAAAACTCCACTGTCATTGTAAATGCAGTGTGACAAAAACTGTGAACACGCCAAATGTTCTTCCCAGTGCCCCCCTGCTCACTCATTCACTTAGCATCCTTGCCCACGAGACAAGGTATGGTGCGGCCCCTGACCAGCAGGGTGATGGCAGGAGCACCTCTAGGGAACCCTTCAGAACAACCAGTGTTACACACAGGGGACCCGAAAACAAAAGGGAATGTCAGTATATCCCTGTCCTGAGTTAAACACCACAGATGTCTGTCTGTCCTCCACCCCTGTGACCAGCAATCACCATGTCGGGGGTCCCTGACTGAAGGCCAGCCACAGGTGAGGGTTGGGATCCTCAGGATAGGGGGCGGCTAGTGCAGCAGAGACCCTGAAAGGGGTGGGGCACCTTCCCTTCCACCAGTGGCCTTTCCCTAAGCGGTACCAGCTGCTGGCAGTTCTGGGGTGTGGAGGACGCCGTGGGTGGAAGGGCAGGAAGGTGAGGGCCCAACAGCCCGCCCTCAGCAGCAGGAACCCTTATTTCTGTGCCCTTTCCACTCTCTCCTAGCTCTGTGGTCACTTGGCTGCTGTGGCCACCGGCCCAGGCAGGGGAGCCTCAGCCTTCTGTCTCAGCATGGCAGTGCCCCCGATGGCCGAAGGGCAGAGCGTGCAGGCCCGGGACGCTGAGCGGGCACTGTGCCGTGGGTGGGGCGCACGTTGGCACCTGTGGCTGTCACTCCCGGGGAAACTGGGCCTGGCCTAACTGCAGCCGACCTGCGTGCTGGTGAGGGCGTGCAGAGGCCAGTGTGGGTCCAATGCCCTCCCCTGCACTCAGCACAGGGTCCGCAGGAGGGGATTGTCACATTACAGGCTCAGCAGCAGCTGGCTCTGGTCTCCATCCGGGGAAGCTTACCCCTGTTCCTGGTGGTTTTCACTGAAAACCCAACAAAGGAGCAGGGAAGGCGGCACGTCACCCCACTGACCCGAGGAGCCCGGGGGTCCGCGTCAGCGAGGACAGCTGCCGCGGGCAGCACCGGGGCCCTGGGCACCTGCCGAGGCTTCCAGAGCTCAGTGGTGTGGTCTGGGGTCCTTGGGGGTCAGTGGCTCCGTGTCGTCCTCTGGTGTCCGGCTGGTGGCCGTAGCCAGGCTCTGCATGGCCTCCCGCTGACGCTGCTTGGCTTTGTTGTAGAGTAGGACTCCGGCCGTCACGAGGATGGTGCCGACAGCCGACAGGCTGGTGACTCTGTTGCCGAACACTATGACACTGAGCCAAATGGACAAGGCATGCTTCACGGTGCCAGCGACACTGCAACAACAGGGGTTACGGCCTGGGTTCGGCCCGCCCGCCCGGCCCGGGGCGCTCCCTCGCCCGCTCCCTGCTCCTTTCTTTTATTAGCAAACGTGTCAAACAGAGAAGCAGAGACCGGTTATAACGAAAAGCCATATTCCCATCGTCTAGACTAAATTAACATTTTGCTTTATCGGCTTCATCCTTTTCCAGGACCGAAATATTTTTAAGTAAATCATAGACATATGACATTTGCCCCTACATAGCTCAGCGTGCTGTTGGGGAACAGGAGAACCGTGCAGATGGCCGTCGTGCCCTTTACTCCCGGCCGACCGACATGGGCAGAGACGAGTGGGAGCCGCCCAGGGAGGCCCCGGGGACACCGTCCGACCAGTGACAACGGCTCTGTGAGAGCAAGGCTAGGACCCTGTACAAAGGAAGTTCATGCAAAATCGCTGAAACCTTCACAGTGCTTGTGTCTGGGGATCATGGACTACGCATGCTTTACTTTTTGTACTTTTCTGTCTTTTCCAAAGTTCCTATAATGAATTAAGTATCACTCTTATGATAGGAATAAAACACACAAAAAGCACTATTTTCTGTAAAAAGAATTGGTTTTCTGCTTTTTGCCCTTTTTTGAACCATCACTAACAATCATTAAAAAACAAAGTTTCAGGGGCGCCTGGGTGGCTCAGTCGTTAAGCGTCTGCCTTCGGCTCAGGTCATGATCCCAGGGTCCTGGGATCGAGCCCTGCATCGGGCTCTCTGC